CAAATGTCTGTTTCTTTAATAAATTATTGAGATATTAGCAAATTTATGATGCACGAATTTTTATTTAAGTTTGTGTAGAGCGTACACTTATTTGCGCCGATGATACGAACAAAATAAGGAAATTTTCTTATGTAGATTGCAAAGGATCATTCCGGCAATTTTTTTAAGCGAACAGGCTGACATGACGGTAACACACTTTGTTCACAATCAATAATTTAAAAATCATGGAAATAGCTGATCAAAACTTTTCATATAAAGTATTAGTATTCTTTACAAAAAGCCTTTTTTCTTTGAGGAGCCAACAATTTACTGCTACTAAAAATGTCTTCCCGAAGTACAAAAAATTCACACAAAACTAAGTTAAGGCCAGGGCCCATAAGTTACATCAATACTATGAAAAAATTGAAAAATTTGGGCTCTACAAAAGAACTTTTCCCGATTACAAAGGATAGTTTTCGGGAATACATTAAAAAGAAGGTTAATGACTGCGTAAAACCCAATACATTGCAACAATATACAAGAGAAATCAAAGTTTATAATGCAGAAATGGGTGGTCGTTGGGATCAAGAATTTGATCTCATCACAAAAGACGGTTTAGGTATGCAAATTGAATGTATTGAGCGAGCATCTTTTTAAATAATTAATCTTATTGCCAAATACTAGATTCACTGAAAAAGTCTCATAATGTAACGGACGAGACTGAATCTTATATTTCTCGTTCTTCCAATACTTCCCGTGCATCTTCATCGCTTGGATCTTTATCTTACATTTCACAACTTGAGGATGATGAGTTTTCTACTCTAGAAGACATGAATGAACAATCTATTTCCTCACAAGCCTACTGTTATCTCTTTGGAATTGGCGTCAAAAGAGATGAACATAAGGCATTTACTTATTATGAGAAATCTGCTGGTGTTGGTGATGCTAGCAGTACATATTATGTTGGTTATTGTTATAATAAAGGAATTGGAGTAGAAAAAGATGAACATAAGGCGTTCGTTAATTATCAAAAATCTGCTTCTATGGGTAATGTAGATGGAATAGTTGCACTTGCTAATTGTTATCGAGATGGAATTGGAGTTAAAAAAGATGAACATAAAGCATTCAAATATTATAAAAAGTCTGCAGATATGGGAAATGCTATTGCAATGTTTGAACTTGGATACTGTTATAGTAATGGACTAGGTGTCAAAAAAGATGAACAGTATGAACTAATGTATTATCAAAAATCTGCTGAGAGGGGAAACATTAATGCAATAAATATCCTTGGAGACTGTAAGAAAAAAAATCATGAAAAGGACGACGAACATAATGTCTACTTAAATAAACCCATAGAAGAAATGGAATTAAGGAAGCGGACGGAAACAAATAATGCCATTGATAATATTTTCAATGAAATTCAGTTCTCTAGACCGGATATCAGTGACGCATTCATCCGTATTAAATATTCTGATCCTATTGTCACCATCGGTGATAGGTCTAATGATGACATTCCTGAGCATGATATTTCCGAGTTCATAACAGTGCATTCAATTATCACTCAAAAACCTCCAGAATACTCTAAAATAGAACAATTGTTCTCGCAACTTAAAGAACGGAAAGGTGACATTGATCACATTCTATATTCGCAGAATGTATATGCTGTAGGTCCAGACTTTCGGAATGATATACCATGTATTGCTTGTTGGGCTGCTGAGCCTCTTGATCAATCAATCATGGAAAAGCTTTCTGAATTGTTTGATAGCAAATTTGATGTTGTATATCATTTAGTGAAAGCCGTAGACATAAATGGCAGCTGCATCGATAATGATGAGAATTCGAACGAGACACCAAATAAAAGCGGCAATGTTAATGATGTACTTGGTGGTGATAAAGCTTCGTTTACAAAGACTACTAAAAATTTTGAGAAAAAAGACAACTCTGGAGAAGGCGATAGTGATCATGATGATGCCGATGATAATGGTGGTGATGGTGACGGTGGCGGTGGCGGTGAAGATGGTACTGTTGATATAAAAGATAATATTAATTATTTCATCTGAATGTAAAATAGAGACTGAAAATAACAAATCCCAATGTTTCAACATTACTGCCCATCTCTGGGCAAGCATAAAATACGATTCTAAGCTTAAAAAAAAAACTTTGGAATTTAAAATTCATTTGAAAAATTGCAGTGTAGAGGATTTTCTTAGTGATGACAATCCGTTACTCCACGGTTTCGTTTGTTATTACCTAGATTCGTTAGAAATAGGTTTTCGTCCAACAAAGTTCAATGACAAATCACCTGAGCTTAGTAATGAATCATCCATGTCAAATGGGGAATCTCTTGATTCCTATAACGAATTATTTAAGCACAATAGTGAATTACTCGGGTCCAATGATAAATCACCCGAGCCCAATGATGGGTCACTTGAATCCGATAATGAGTCGTTTGAGTCTGGTGACGAATGTCCCATGATTATGTTGAAAGAATATACACCAAGTAGGTCCAATAATTCTATAAACATTTCAAAAACCAAAGAAAAAGGTAACGGCATCCAACTAGATGCAGGAAAAAACCCAAAGGTATCACTTAGTCACGCTACTAAAAACACTCGAAGTTCGGCGGCAGCATTAAAAGAATGGGACATGGTTGATACATACGGTACAACTAATGGTATTAAATGGCAATATCGGTATTTTGGTGAAGACATATTCAATAATGGAGGACACAGGAAGAGCATTCGGATAGATGAACCCTACTGTGGTGACTTTTATATCAACAAAAACTTAGGAGGTTTTTGCATAACAATTACACAAGTTCTCGGTTTCAAGGAAGACCGAACAATTTTCAGGAGATTGGTTAGTCCTAAGCCGGAACTAATAAAATATTATCCTAAGTTTTTACACAAACTTGAGATTTACTTTAAAGACATACAAAATTTCAATAATAATTTCGCGAAATTAACAAAGAAATTACACCAGGGACGATATCTCACTCCAAAAAAGCCAATTTATGTCCGAGAAAAGAATAATACCAAGTTCAAACGTGAATTATCATCAGCTAAATAAAAATTAATGACGGTGAAATATAAATGGGTTAAGGCTGAGAAATGATAATTTTAATCAGCATAACCTTTTATTTAATTATTGGAGTTACTTTCGCGAATAAGTGCGTACGTTGTGAAAGTGTAAATTACCCCAGAAATTGCTGCGATTCCCCATCTTTCAATTGTTTACCAGCAAAAAGAAGGTGCTGTTGGTCTGGTGGTATACCCTCTTTGTCATGGAGTAAACGTTTTAAATCATCAATAGTGTTGGATGGATTTACAGACAAAGTGGTTTCACCAGCTAAAGTTCTAACAATTATCTGCACACGATCATCAATTCTAGATGTAATTGTGCGAGGAGGAAGAATTAATGATGAAATGGATTGATTTTGAGACATGAGGCGTGTTTTTATATCATTCCAAAGATCTTTCTCAAGGATTTTTTTATAAGGCTTTACATTATTAATAATATCATCACCAGAGATTTGAAAATAACGAATATGAGGCAAACAATTTTGCAAAGTAATTTTAAGGGTCAAAAAATTTGTTCATGAGACCATTCGTTATGATTAGATGATAAACCAGGATTTTTAGCAATTCCCTATTTGATAATATAATTCCAAATTTTAATTTCATTCATTTGCAAGTCATCACGTTTGATAAGTGAGATCAATGCATTTTCTGGAATTGATTTAAAATCTTCAGAATCCAAAACTTTTTCCGGGTATTTTACTATAATATCATTGCACCATTCTTGTAGCTTTTGGGACTTATCATTTTGAAAGCACATTTTGTAAATATAAGCAAAATGTAAACGAAGCCACGAAGCTTTTTCTTCAATTAAAAAATTTTCAAGGAATTTTCCCAATTCTTCAAGAAAAAACTCATAAGCAACAAGCATTATTTCGAAAATGAATGAAATATCAAGGACTTCCAATGAAATTACACCATCGTATATGTACCTTTAATATGAAAATTAACAATGTTATATATCAACTTAAATTAAAATATATAACAATAAGAAAATAAAAATAAACTTACTTGATAATAATTTCAAATTGTTTAATAGAGACATTATTTAAATTAATGGTTTTAATATTATTTTTATCCGTGTTAGTATTTGCCAACTCATTACGAAAATATAAACTCCGTTTTCTTAAAATGGTCGAATGTACTTGTGTGAGGTAACTACTAAAGGTTACATTGAATTTGATTTGCTAAAAGTTTTTTTTAACTACGTACGTACGTACGTACGTACATACGTACATACGTATCAGGTATGTAAACAGATTTGCAGTTTATTCAGATTATATATCGATATGTTTAAATTTTGGTTTTTTTAAACAAAAATTAATACTTTCCGACCTGTTTCTCAAAATGCATTCG